GTTCTCCCTTTCGGGTTAGCTCTGTCACCTCGCGTCTTCACGAAGATCGTCAAGGCAGCCCTTGTTCCCTTCGCGAACACGGGGTTCGCACCCTGATTTATCTCGACGACTGGCTGATACTGGCACACTCTCGAGAACAGGTTTGCGAACACAGAGACCTGGTGCTCCGGCACCTAGCCCGTCTGGGCCTTCGGGTCAACCGGGGAAAGAGCAAACTTTGCCCCGTGCAGAGGATCTCTTTTCTCGGCATGGAGATAGACTCGGTCGCCATGTCCGCGCAGCGCACGAGCGAGCGCGCGCACTCACTGCTGACTTGTCTTCGACAGTTCAAGGGCAAGAGTGTGGTTCCACTGAACTATTTCAGAGGCTCCTGGGGCATATGGCATCCGTGGCCGCGGCTACGCCGCTCGGTTTGCTTCATATGAGACCGCTTCAGCTGTGGCTTCGCGATCGAGTCCCGAGGTGGGCATGGCATCGCGGCTCGCTCCAAGTTCCAGTGACTCCAGCGTGCCGCCGAACCTTCTTCCCGTGGTCGAACCTCAGCTTTTTACGGACCGGCGTCCCTATTCAGCGAGTTTCCAGGCATCTCGTTGTCTCCACGGATGCGTCGACCACGGGTTGGGGTGCCATGTGCAATGGGCATGCAGCCGCGGATTCCTGGACAGGACCCCAGCGCCTCATGCACATCAATTGCCTCGAGCTGCTGGCAGTACGTCTCGCCCTGCACCGCTTCCGAGCGTTGCTCAGGGGCCAGCATGTGCTTGTCCGTTCAGAGAACACCACGGCAGTAGCGTACATCAACCACCAAGGGGGTCTACGCTCACGCCGGTTGTCGCAGCTCGCCCGCCACCTCTTGTTATGGAGTCAGAAGCACCTGAGGTCCCTTCGTGCAGTATACATTCCAGGAGACCAGAACCTGGCAGCCGACGATCTGTCACGGGTCCGTCCTATCTCCGGCGAATGGCGACTCCATCCCCAGTCGGTCCAGCTGATTTGGGACCAGTTCGGGGAGGCACAGATAGATCTGTTCGCCTCCCGGGACTCATCCCACTGCGCCCAGTTTTTTTCCCTGACCGACGGTACATTCGGCTCAGATGCGCTGGCGCACAGCTGGCCGCGGGGCCCACGCAAGTATGCGTTTCCCCCAGTGAGCCTCCTTGCACGGGTGTTGTGCAAGATCAAGGAGGACGAGGAGCAGGTCTTGCTGGTAGCCCCCTATTGACCCACCAAGACGTGGTTCTCCGAACTCTTGCTCCTCGCGACAGCACCTCCTTGGCCTATTCCTCTCAGACAAGATCTACACACTCAGAGACGGGGCACTCCGTAGCCCCCCTGGTCCTGATCCTGGAGACTACACATGTGGCTCCGGGACGGGACGGGGCAGGTTTGAGTTCGTTGCCACCTGCGGTGGCGGCAACCATCACTTCCGCTAGAGCGTCGTCCACGAGACACCTGTACGCGTTGAAGTGGAACCTCTTCGTCAGCTGGTGCTCTTCTCGCTGAGAAGACCCCCGGAGATGTTCGATCGGAGTCGTGCTTTCCTTCCTGCAAGAAAGGTTGGAGCGTAGGCTGTCGCCCTCCACCCTTTGGGTTTATGTCGCGGCCATTGCCGCGTCTCATGATGCAGTGAAAGGTAAGTCTATGGGAAGCATGACCTGGTCATCAGGTTCCTGAGGGGAGCGAGGGGGCTAAATCCGCCTCCCTCCCCTCCTGCCCTCTGGGGACCTCTCAGTAGATCTAAGTGCTCTGCAGAGGCCTCCCCTGGAGCCTTGGCAGTCGGTAGAGTTTTTGCCCTGTCCTATGTAGACAGCACTCCTGATTGCATTGGTCTCCATCAGGAGAGTAAGGGACCTGCACGCACTCTCTGTTGACGAAGTGTGCCTGGAGTTCGGGCCGGCTTACTCTCACGTATTCCTGAGACCCCGGCCTGGATATATGCCCAAGGTTCCTACCACTCCCCTCCGGGACCTGGTGGTGAACCTGCAAGCGCTGCCCCTGGAGGAGGCAGACCCAGCATTGGCACTGCTCTGTCCGGTACGTGCTCTCCGCACCTATGTCGACAGAACGCGGTGTTTCAGGACCTCAGTCCAGCTCTTTGTCTGTCATGGGGGGAGCCAGAAGGGAAGGGCTCTCTCAAAGCAACGGCTGTCCCACTGGAAAGTGGACGCCATTGCTTTGTCTTACCAGCAGCAAGGCCGTCCGTGCCCCCTTGGTGTGACGGCCCATTCCACTCGGAGTGTGGCCTCCTCTTGGGCTCTAGCGCACGGCGCCTCGCTAACAGACATTTGCAGAGCTGCAGGCTGGGCGACACCCAACACCTTCGCCAGATTCTATAATCTGCGAATTGAGCCGGTGTCCTCTCACGTACTCGCTTCTGCCGGTACTGGACCCGCTTAGGTGTCTTCGCTTGCTCGCCATTCCACTCCACGGACTGGATAAGTGCGATATCTCCTCAGTTCTTCCTTTGAAGCCTTGAGTCCTCCAGCACCTACGATGCGGGCACCACGGCTGTTGCTCTGGATGCCGGCTAGGTGCCTCCATGTGCACGGTTCCCTATGGTAACTGTCTCATGTGTATTTCCACTGTAAGCCTCTCTGAGCATGTGTCTTCCCTTGGCAAGCCATCTGCCACCCCTGGAGTTAAATTCCAGTAGCCACCTGCGGTTGGTGCTCCAGTGATTCCATATGTGTTCCGTGCGGCCATATGCGTATTGTAAGTCCTCCCTTTGGTAGGCATCTGGTTGCATGTCCCTCCCGGGATATGTTTCCCAGTGTACCTTGGTATTTCTGTGTTAAAGCGGGATCCCCTAAGGAAGGTTTTCAGGGGTCCAGACTTTCGCAGGGCACTGGTAGACAGCTTGAAGATGGCGTGATGGCACAGACCCCCAATCTCCGTCACTTCTGACGTAACTCGAAGTGACTACAAAAGGGAACGTCTCGGTTACGGATGTAACCCTCGTTCCCTGAGTAGGGAACGGAGACGTTACGTCTCCCTGCCACTTCTGCTGTATCGCTGGGTAGACGCCGAGTTCAGTCTTGGCTCCTCAGCGAAGACATACTGCGGTTGCGTTCACTTCCTCCTTTTATACTCACGAAGTAGGGCGGAGTACGCTATGCAAATTTCCGCAGCCCCAAGGCATTGCATGCCATTGGCTCGTTTTTAAATACTCGAAGAGGATTGGCTTTCTATGCGAAACCCCCAATCTCTGTCACTTCTGACGTAACGTCTCCGTTCCCTACTCAGGGAACGAGGGTTACATCCGTAACCGAGACGGTATTACTTGTTACTGTTATTTAAAAGTAATTCATTAACTTACAATATTACTGTCTCAGAATTGCAATACGTTACTCATGTATTACTTTTGAGTTACTTTCACCAAAATAACTAAGTAGAACTTAACTTTGGGGCTGTAACGATATGCAATATGAAACCGAAATCGTGATTCGCCACACGACTCAGATCCACGAACCTACAGAATCGCGACACACCTCTTCCAACTCCCAGCGTTATTCTCCTTACCGTCCAGATCCAATGCTGCCTTATCTTTATATTAGGCTATTAGTATTATTTGAAGTTTACATTATAAAATACGTAGACTTACACCACAAAACTAGTTGAGGATAAATTATTTAAAATTGGGGAAGTCCAGCAGTCAAAACTTGAAATAAAAATTCTCAGAAAATACATGTATTGAAACGTATATAGGCTACTTCCTTAAAGGACTCCAGACATTAGACAAATATCAGTCTATGTTTTATTTTTAATATTAGGGAAAAGACACACATTCATGCGTGACAAAAAAAATAGGAGGCAAAATATATTTTTGTAATTCTGTTAATTACACTGCGCAAATCGGATGAGGAAGGGTTGACTCTCCAGTCTCCATAGACCTTAAAATATTCATTTTATTTTAGTTTTCGTGTTCGCATTTATGAGGAAAAAACAATGTTACAGACGCGACCGCTCTGAACTGGCACTAAAAGACTGCTTTAAAACTTTCACATAGTCTGTTGCCTTTAAGAAGTAAAAGCAGACAATACACTGTAATACAACTGTAATACAAACCTCACTGAACATGTAACGAGTAAAATATTACTGAAAATTGATTAGTAATGCCTTACACTACTGCGTTACAGCAAAAAGTAATATGCTACTGTAATGTATTACTTTTGTAATGCGTTACTCCCAACACTGCTGATGACTCCTCTGTTGGATTGTGTTTAGGCTGAATGTTTGTGGATCTGTAGCATTGATGTGTGAGTGTGTTTGTGTCTCTAGGGGGGAAAGACTGTGAAATGTGCAGTTATATCATTACAGACATTTACTTGAACATCAGTGCTCAAGATGTTGTTCAGAGAAATCATGTTTGACTATTTCAATATGGCTTCAAGGATACAGCTGATCCGCACTCATAATTCCAAATCCTTTTAGTCACTTTATTTCATATTTTTTCACATTATTCACCAGGGAATCCTCGACATTTTGAATTCACAATGAGCTCATATGTTACTGACACTGTGAGTATGACTGAATGAGAATGGTGTGATGTCACGGCGATCACATGATCTCACATGTTGACTGCGCTGTAAGTACTTTATTTTTCAATAAAGTATATTTATAATAGTTCCAAGTCAACAGGGCAGAACTACAGCACACATCAGTGTTTCGTAAACAATTCGACAGCTTTGAACAAATCGTGAGTCAATCATTCAGTGATTCATTTATAAATACAGCTGAACGTAAGAATGACTCAATGACTCGCTCATTGAGAAGACAGTGACTTACCGTTTTTTTAATATTTCAAAGTATCACTTTGTTTTTACCATCATTGCATATTGCTCTATTGGACATGTTTTCATTTAAAACATTTTTTTTTTTTTTTAATAAAGTAAAGGGGGAAAATATTGTCCCTTAATGGAAAAGATATGACTGAAGTCTAAGTGGAACCAAGTTTTACAGTGTATGTATTATTGTCTTCATGCTGATTTCTGTCATTGCAGGTGTAACGCCGCAGGAAGGACCCACCGTAAGTTGAGTTTCTGAATTTGAAGTTGTAGAGATCACAGCTCCCATTAATAATAGTCCAAACTGAAGCAGTGCAATAACATGTGCATTTTAGACATGTGTGTGTGTGAGTGTGTACTCTGAAATATGAATAATTGCTGATTGTATATAGGGGTGTGGAGTCGACCTGCGAATGCTCTTCATACACAAGTCATTTGAAAGAATGAGTTTGTGGACTCGCTAATCAATTAACACTATAAGCTACTACAAATGCCCTTGTTATTTGTGTGTTATTAGGTGTAACATTAAGCTTGCGTCATAACATGTTGGAAATACGTAACTGTCCGTCATTCATTTATTTGCCAAACCTCCTTTTGAAGAGTATTTTCATTTACACCAGTGGGTGGCGACAAAGGTTTAAAAGTTAACATTTGTCATTCAATCATTCAATAATGAAATTGGTTCAAAAACACGGTCTGTGTCTCATTTCAGAGGCACTCCGCATCATTACGTTACAATCATCGCTCACACATCGTCAAATTATCTTCTCAATTTTGATTTCAGAGTTTTTCTGAAAAACATCTTCAAAATATTCTTGAGGGGATCGAGAACATTACAGATGAAGTGCTTCCTTTGACTGTAAGTCTTCAAGAGCAAAAAAATATATAATCAAAGCAAACGTAATTGTCAATTACATGATTGACATCGCACCTCTGATTGATTGGTATTCTTAATATTTACATGGACAGTAATTAAATTTTTCTGATCAATAACTTAGAATGTGACCAGTATTTTGGATATGGTCCTCAACGCTTCAGGGGAGATTTTACAGTCGTCATCATCTTCATCATCGATCAGCGAGGCTAAACTAGCCTCTTATGGAAACCGTGTGTTAAAAGCAAACGAGAAACTCATCTCCACATTGGTGAAGCCGACAGACACAAACGACAGTGTCAGTTTTACTCTTGCTGCTGTAGGTGAGTGGAGAAACTGTTATTATTGATGATGAAACTCAGATAATATAAAGCAGGGAAGAAAGCTGCTTAGCTCCTGTTGTGGAGGATGGTAAGCAACATCATCTACGTGGTCGCCATTGTCAGTCCTCTGAGTTGTCCCCAGAAATTGACTTCGGTACTTATTCCAGTGCCTTTGACAGAGGAATACACTCTGGAAATGGTATCATGAGAAAAATAAAATAAAAATCAATGTAAAGTTATTAATCACACATGCAATGTCAATTTAAACTGTTGTAAACTATTGAAAATTGATGTTTTTTTAAACAAATTCTTATATCCCCATGTGAGAATGAGTTGAATCAGGTGTGTTTCATTGAGGTAGCCTTAGGCTGTGGCTGAAGTCAGTTGTAGTTCTTGTGTTTCTCTTTCCTTCAGTGATTCTGCTTGTTTACTGCGTTCATCACTAATGTTCAATCATCACTTAATAAATCCCTTAATTATCTAAATTTTTGTTTACACATTTGTGCTGATTGAATCAACTTTAATAAAAAAAAAAAAAAACTTAACTGCTTATTTTCTAAATCAGAGGTTGAAGTCTTCATGGTTGGACCCAATGTCACCTTAGATAAAATCCCTCGACTTGACACGATAAATTCTTCTGTGGACATTGATCTCATTGGGATCGCCAAGAACAACAATGAAACAAGTATGTGAGATGTGTTTTAATACAACATTTTAGAAGAAATATCACTAAACCACATTTAACTACAGGTTTTTGTTGTATTGAATACACGTTTCTTCTGTTTCTATCACACAGGATCAGCTGCTGTGGCTTTCATGAGTTATAACACAATGGAGAATCTACTGAAGCCAGACTTCTTCAACACATCAAATGACACGATTAAAACCATGATGTCCACTGTGATCTCAGCTACTCTTCCCAAAACCACCAACACTAAACTCACCAAACCAGTCAACTTCACCTTCAAACACATCAGAGTGAGAGACTGAAATGTGTTTTTGTCCAACCTGAGAACTGATGAACATCTGAAAACATCTAATATTCAGTGTTGTATTATTTTCTGCATGTTCTTTCTTCTTTTTGCAGGAGTTTGACCCCAACGGTTCTCTGTCCTGTGTGTACTGGAATATCAGCGAGTGGATTGTAGATGGTTGTTCTGTTTTAAAGACCAATAGCAGCTACACTGTGTGTTCGTGTGTTCATCTGTCCACATTCGCTCTCATCATGCAAACCAGCCGCCCATCAGAGGTACGAGAACATTTCTAGTGAGCATTGAAGAACAGCACAGATTTAGCACTCATGTTCTCTGACATGTTTTCTCAGAGCGACTCTCTGCTGGACCTGTTGAATTTGGTGTGTGTGACCGTGGGGTTGGTGTTCTTCAGTTTGGCCCTGTTGACCTTTGCCCTTTGTCAGTGGAGTCCTGGAGTGAATAATGTGGCTCGAATCAACCTCTGCATCAGTCTTCTGTCGGCTCACCTTCTGTTCCTGCTCACACAACAGTTCCTGAGACTCATACGCCGTCATCAGGTGAGAATGATGAAGGAGCTCTACAGCTCAGCACAGTCTCACTGAGAATCATCATAACCGTCTCTCATGATCTCCAGGTGTTGTGTGCCGTGATATCAGGAGTGCTGCACTTCCTCTTTCTCTCCGGCTTTGTGTGGATGTTCATTGAAGCTGTGCTGCTCTTCATCTGTGTGAAGAACCTATCACAGATCAGCTCCAAAAAGAGGGAGGTGCTTAGCAATGGATTCCTGTGTGTGATTGGATATACGGTTGCTCTGGCTGTGGTGGCCGTGTCTGTCGGGCTGAATACCAAAGGCTACGGAAGTGAAGAGTGAGTTTGAGTGATTTAGAGATCTACACCTTCATCCATGTTTTTTCTGTTTATTGAACTTTTACAATAATAGCAGGATACAGATACAGGAGAATAGTGAAAAATATGGTCACCCACCCTATAAAATAAAGAAAGAAAAAAGTAGTTATACAAATAAAAAATAAATAAAAGAAATGAATCAAAAGAATCTCAATACATAGTGTAATACAAATTATGTCAAGCATAATACCTCAAGTGTAGAATATATGTCGGATTGTTAAAGCAAAAGCTCTAGGCGACAACATCCATTAGTCAAAAGTCTTATGGACGCATATTTAGTATGTGTTTTGTGGCCTTATATTTCAGAAACTTTCATTTTTTAGTTTTTTTCAATAACCATGCATAAACAATATTCTCTCAAAAATACAAACATGTACATACATGTTGTTCGCATATTATGGTAGCCATGTTTGTGCTAAATAGAGTGTAATTTCACCTGTGCCGGTAATATGTTTATAAGCAACTGAAAAAAACACAAATGTCAGGGCATGTCAAAACATTTCTAGGACCGCAAAAACATATTAGACCCCAGAGGGTTAAAATCCCCTCCCATAATAAGATAGTGTGAGTTTAGGTCAGGAGTAGAGAGAACATTTGGTTACACTTTATTTTGACAGTCACTTTAGACGTTCTACTGATTAAAAGTAACTTTTCAACTACATGTCAAGTAACTCTCATTAGAGTGTTAGTATATTATAGTAGACTGTTAGGTTAGGGTTAGATGTTAGGCTTTGGGTTAGGGGAATAAGTTTACTTGTAGTCGCCAAGTTACTTATAGTCAGTTGAACGTCTGTTGGGAGACCAAAAAATAAAGTGTTAGAAGATATTAAGCTGACAGTCTACTGATACTCTACAGTTAGATGAAAAGTTACTTATAGTTAGTTGAATGTCTAAAGTGGACTATCAAAATAAAGTGTTACCGATATTTGTTTCATTTTAAGTCACCATTGTGGTGATCAGTGTTTGCTTTAGTTGGGCTCTTGGTCCCAATAATTCATTCTTTAGCTTTTCTTTGGCTGTTGTAACTGTGTGTTTGAATAACACCACTGTTGTGACAAAGAAACTATCAGAATGTGGACTATCGAAATAAAGTGTTACCGAATATTTTCTGAATAATAGTTTCGTCATCTTAATTTGATGTGTATATATTAGCCACAGTCACGGTTAAACCATAGAGAAGGCCTGAAACAATAACACGTATACCACCGGAGGGAGAAAACAGAATACACTTCTAATAATAATTGCCACCCCTCAAGATTTGCTGAGAAATTTAGAATGATATACTTGCCCAATCCATTTCTTACAAAGTCTGGCTTGATCTGAGTTTTTAAAGTGGGTCTCTTGCAAAAAACAAAACAAAATAATATGAACATTTAATCTTCTAAATGTGACAACACCTTCCTGCATTGGATTTCATTGTTTAAACCTTTAACATTCCAACTGGTAAAATGAACACATAAACCACCTGACTGAGCATTGAGTAAGCTAGTGGTTATTGGTTACAACAACAAAAAGATAAATGAAAAGATGAATAGTGTGACTTCTTCTGTCTTGACAAATCTAAGATTAAGTAAAAGGACAAAGAAAATACAAAAGAAAAACATGTACTACATGAGCATTACCCATTATCACACAAAACCTTCTCTCCGCTGAACTGGGTGGGTTCTGTAACAAATTGTAAATATATCATTGATTTATTTTTTGTCTTTATCTTCCTCCAAACAGGTGTTGGATTAAAAAGGATAATGTCTGGAGTTTTCTGGGACCTGTTTGCGTCATACTAGCAGTGAGCCCATTTCTCATCATGACTTTGTATTCAAAGGAAAACGGTGATTAAAGATTAATTACTTTTGTTTCTCTTACTGTGCAGTTCAACATGATTCTCTTCCTCTGCATCATCATCAATCTGTACTCGACCTTGAAAAAGCGGAACGCTGAAGTTTCACAGATGAAGATAACCAAGTAACAAACATTATGATTTGAACACGCCATGAAATGTGTGTATATATATTGTATCATGGTGCATATTTCACCTTTAACTTGATTTTGATTATTCTCAGGTTAGGTCAAGTAAGTCAAATGTCTCCTAAATCATAAGCATCTGAATTTTCATACTCACAATTCATAGGTCAGAAGACTTCTTCAGGGTCTGTTCAGCTCACGTTTTTAGAAATCAAAGATTTTTGGCAGTTTCAGTTAAATATAGTTTTATTATTTACAGGTTAATTAGTTTATTCATTGTAATTAATGCCTTCATCTTCTCCTTTCAGCCTTTTATAGACCATCTGATTTCTTGAGATTGTCATCTTTGGAAATCCCCTCAGTGTCTTCCAGACAATTTCTCCAATCCTAAGTCTTGAGGTGTTATGATTTCTGGGAATTTCTTCAGACCTGTCTATATAAATCCATTCGCCTCTTACTCTTCCTTCTTCAAACTTTTCTTCTTTGTTGTATTCTGTGCCTCGACCGCAACACATCTGACGGTAATGCTTGCATTTTCCTTCTTTCTTTAGCTAAGCTCTTTCTAATACATGTTTTGTTCCTTTCTATGCTTTTTAATCAATGCTTAAAACATTATGTTTTTCTTTATGAACCACTTTCTCAATAAACAACTTTCGAGTGTAGTTGATAATACAGAAGTGTACTACAGACAAAAAGGCATAATTATAACAGGATAATTGCATATTTTCCACAACAATATTATCAATAAATATATATTAACTCTCCATCTTTCTCTGCAGGATAATGACATTTAAAACACTGGCTCAGTTTGTGGTTCTTGGTTGCTCCTGGATTCTGGGTTTCTTCACTGATGGTAGGAAGGAGCTGGAGATCCTCTTCCTGATCTTGAACTCCCAGCAGGGAACCTTCATCTTCCTGGTCTATTGTGTCCTCAATAATGAGGTAAGACAAGTCTATGGAAAAATTATCTCTCACCTACTTTATATCAAAGGGATAGTTGATAGTTCACCCAAAAATTAAAATTAGCCCATGATTTACTCACACTCAATTCATCATAGGTGTATATGACATTCTTCTTTCAGATGAATACAATCAGAGTTATATTGAAAAATGTCCAGGCTCTTCGAAGCTTTATAATGGCAGTGAATTGCCGTTTCTGTTTTAAAGTCCATCAAAGTGCATCTATCCGTGATGAAATACATTTTTGAAAAAGAGTGTTAAATTTACACTGAAGCAGTGTCAAAATAAATGAGCTAATTAAGTGTTTAATTGAGTGATGATTGAGCATTAGTGAAGACACCTTGAGTTTAACAAGCAGAATCATTGAGGGAGAAAATCACAAATTGTATAACTACCAGATGAAAAGGTTGATCAGGTGATGTTTTGACATAATCATCATTTGACCAATCACAGACTTATTTAGAACTTTATTTCTGACTTAGATTTATATTGTTAATTACAGCATCACTGAATCCAATATAACTCAAAAGATTTTTTAAAAGTTGTAAACTTTCTTTTAGGCATGCACATATGTCTAGAATCAGTGTATGAATCTCAACAATGGTGACAAACAGGATATTCAGTTAGGAAAAGGAAATTACAAAAGGCATGTGTACATGCTTCAAGTTCGGACACTCAAGAGGTCGTGAGATATTGCACACACCTTACAAGTCAGTTAACTTGATAATCAGCTGGTACACGGCGCAACTGTCCTGCATGAATTTCGAAAATCAAAAAATTCATACAAAGTTGTATCACTGATTTCAACGCCATCATCTGCGAGCTTGTAAAACTGCAAAAATCACACCATGTACGCCCGCTTCAAGACAATTCAGATCGTAATTTATTCATTCTGCAATGCATGATGGGAGCCATGAGTTTTGATTGTTGGCACCCAGAATGCACTGGAACATGCTTTATTATTGTCACCAATGTTAAGATTCACAGGCTGTCTACATACTTTTTCAAAGTTATTTGATAAACAATTTTCAAGAAATCTTTTTGATTATATTGGAAATCATATGTTATTAAATCAAAGAGCTGCTGTAATCAATGGGGTAAACATAACTCTCTAAATGTGTTAAGTATTTCAGATCACATGATGATGTCAAAACATAGCTAGCAACTCCAGATCACCTTTTTTCTAGCTTCATCTGGCAGTTTTAACTCAGTTACAGCAGCCAAACAAAATCTAATGGTGACGTGTGATTTTCTCCTTCAGTGATTCTGCTTGTTAACATCAGGTGTCTTCAATAATGCTCAATCATCACTCGATTATCTCATTAACTTTAACACTGCTTCAGGCCCTGTTTACACGAGAACGCTCGCGGGTGAAAACGTAAAAATATTTTATCTGATGTGCCTTTCGTTTACACGGCGACTGCGTTTTTGAGGCTTAAAAATGCAAAAAAGTGAAACCACCCTCCAGAGTGGAAATCTTAAAAACGCTCCACCGCCGCGTTCCCGTGTAAAGGGTAAACCCTCCTAGCCGCCTGAAGTGCATACTACATTGATTCACACACTATTGCGTCACCATTTGCACGCGGATTTCCCACACAAAACGCTCGTCTAAACGCAGAATAAAAAGTGATGACGCAACGCCACTTTTGTGTTTTCTCTTCAGAATCGTTTCCGTGTAAACATAGCCTAACACTCTTGAGTGTGAAGTCAGGAGAGTTAATTTAATACTGTGTAGAATGACTTGAGGTGAGTCATGGGCTAATTTTAACTTACCCTTTAAGTTAATTTTTCATTTATCATCTTCTATTTTTCTTTTTTTTTTTACGAGAGTTTTAAAACAATCTCTCGTCTCATTGTTGTCCAGGTCAGGCTGCAGTACAGGAACTTCTTCAGATGTCTTTGCTGTGGGCTCAAATCAAACACCAAGAAAACCTGAATATTATGGCATCCATATTCGGCAAATCAATTGTTATTATTATAAAAGTGATTCTATTATGATTTAGATATTATATGACCAGACTCGTCTACAAATTTCACTAGTTAACATGCTATACATTTACAGCTGTCAATACACTTATGTGAATATATACTTTTCTTAAGTGCAACATTTCTTATAGAGGAACTACCAGTTTTTTTAGATGCTTATATTCTTATTTACACATTCAATACACTAAATTAAGAGGATAAAGTAATTGTTTTTCAGTTTAAAGTGTTTTATTAAAGCAATGTGATATCTGTAACATTTCAAATCTTATTTTCTTTTAAACAATCTATTCAAAACATCTCATAACTCAATCTCACAACCCCAAAAGATCCCTCAGAATTTGTAAATAGACAAAATCTATTTCACTATTCAAAACAATTAATAACGTAAATTATCTGTAATAAAACATAAAAAGGTTCCATTTAACTTTGTATAAGAAATTAACCACAATAGTTTGAGTCGTTTATTTTAAATAAATCTAGCATCAATTTGTCCTCTCGCTGACTTTGAGCTTTTGAGTTTCTGACCATATAACTTCCGCATCAAGTGTTGTTTCTCATACTTAGAAGTCCAAGCATCACTTTGAGCCACCACAATATTGGAAATGACTTTTAGTGGCATAACTAAGTGGTCACTGATTAGACCGTATTAAAAGCAAAAATAAAGGCTGCTTTCACAGAAAGACGTTCTTGTGTCCAAAGGATCAGACTGCTGATAAGAAACTATATTATTGTAGCCATACACATCACAACATGCTCTACTGTCCATCTTTGGAATAAGTAAACTTAGATGTGTGACGTTGACAACAAAACGCTTTGAGACTTTCTGCTGGACTTGACCCAAAGGAAACATAGGTTCAAAATGTACATGACAGACACATGGACCAGTCCATTCAAGCAATGTTTTCGTTCAGATAGTCAACAGTTCAACAATTTCAGCAGCCCCTTATATTCATCCTTTAAATACTTAAAGATCTTTTAAAATTTCCCAATGGCAACAGCTCCAGGATTGCAGTATACAACAGCTCAAGAAGCCAGCAAAACATTTGCAATAGTGTCCTTGGCACTCTGGCTCAATCTTTCAGGGAACTTGACCTCAAATTCGACAATCAAGTCCCCACGACGATCTGGGGATTTCGGAAGAGGAAGACCCTCCCCTGTGACACGCCGTTTCATCCCGGGACGGACAATGTCTTGAGTTGTTAGGCTGACCGTGCGATTATCCAGTGTTGGAACATTAACCGTGCAACCGCAAAGTGCCTGAAAAAGTAGAGAAGAATGGGATTAAAAAAGGGTTTGTAAGCAAACTCTTAAAGGAGAACTCCGGCGCAAAATGAACCTTTGGTCTAATTACACATATTGTTACCTAGTCAACCGTTATCTGAGATTTGTTTTCATGATTGCCGAATGTAAATAGTTTTATCTCTAAAAACAGTTTAGCCTATAACGCTAGTATAATGGGGCATAGAGTAATGACAAATAAAAATCGCTTGTTATTACCACTAACAAGGCTCAAAATAGCCCCACACCAACATGATAGCATAATAAGGGTCCCTACATTCAAACCGAAGCATTGAGAACTTTGTCAGCATCCGTACAGTTTAATAAGAAGATATTTTATACACACAGTCAACTTTGCGAATACAGGAAGAAGCCATCTTTGAAAAATAGTCTCTACCAGTCAATCTACGAACGCCGATCCAAGTGCGCTGGTGAGATGTGAATAAGGTGATAAGGTGAGCGCGAACAGTATAGGCTACGTGTACATATTGAAGAGAAGAAAACGGTTCGTGTTGGTGTTTCTTCTGAAAACAACGGATCATATGAGATTCTGCACAGTTCAGCGGACTTGGATCGGCGTTCGTAGATCGACTGGTAGAGACTATTTTTCAAGGATGGCTTCTTCCTGTATTCGCAAAGTTGACTGTGTGTATAAAATATCTTCTTATTAAACTGTACGGACACCGACAAAGTTCTCAATGCTTCGGTTTGAATGTAGGGACCCTTATTATGCTGTCGTGTTAGTGTGGGGCTATTTTGAGCCTTGTTAGTGGTAATAACAAGCGATTTTTATTTGTCATTACTCTATGCCCCATATACTAGCGTTATAGGCTAAACTGTTTTTAGAGATAAAACTATTTACATTCGGTAATCATGAAAACAAATCTCAGATAACGGTTGACTAGGTAACAATGTGTAATTAGACCAAAGGTTCATTTTGCGCCGGAGTTCTCCTTTAAAATAAGCGTCCATCTTACCTCTTTGAGTGTAATTTTTGCAGGATAAATAATGTCCGATCCGTCTCTTCTGTACACTGGATGTGGCTTATCCTTCACCACAAACACCACATCTGCAGGGATATTTGTTGCCGTCTCATCCCCTTCCTTAGGGAAAGTAACCTTGGTTCCTTCTTTCCAGCCTTTCTTCACTTCCACTGTAAGGATCTTGTCCTCAGTGCGTGTCGTTCTTCCGTCGGGATTCAGGCGTTTGCGGGAGATCTTCATCTTCTTGGTGCAGCCAGTGAACACTTCTTCTAGACTGACCCTCAGGTCGTGGGTCACTGGAGGATCCTGTTTTTTGACCAGTCTTCCGCCAGAACCTTGCGTGTTAAAGGAGCGTGGGAAACCGCCCATGCCACCCATGCCAAAACTAGCAAATGGGTCGTCCGTGTCCATTCCCTCGTCCATGCCACCGTTACGGCCAAACATGTGTTCGAAAGGGCTTCGCCCTCCGAAAAACTCTGAAAACATTGCATGAGGATCCCCTTGAAAGGTGTAGGTGAAATTACTTCCACCTCCTCCACCGCCAGGGACGCCACCCTTCAGTCCTGCACACGGTAAACAAAGAGGTCACATGTTACACATCTGTGTGGTCGGTGTTGTATAAAACTCATAGATAACCCATAAAAAACAAATGACAAAATTGAATTACGATGTATTAAGAACTTTTACTGCCCAGGAATATGTATAATTTGACATGAAACTGTTCTTCCATGAGACATTCTTCCTAACTCAAATTCCCAGCATCTGAACTTTTATGCAAAATATCATCATTAACACAATCAGATATTTTAGTTTAAAGGCCCATAACCACTATAGACATTGAAGGGGACAACAAGTCTCTCGCAATAATTAGAAATGGCCAAATCTGCTGCACTCCATTACTGTTAGTTGTTATGACATAAAGTTTAAAATGCAGTCTAATGGTGCTCGTCAATGTCAAAATGTAGATAATTCTAACCAAAGTCCCTTCCTAGTTTTTGCAGTAAAATAGTGCGTGGTGAGGTGTAAGTAGATGTAAATATTTGACAAAACATTTTTACATTTATATTAGCAGACTAATATCAGTGATGCAAACCACTCAACTTTTTTCATTATATTTCACATTATAATTATGTTTTGGAGTGAAAATATGCTATCATTTGCATGATTCATGTAATTCACAATGGAATGTGATGAGAAGAAACGGTTTGCGTTTTTGACGTATGACATACGAATGAGTTTGTGTGTGCAACATTTAATATATCATATTTGCAGAGTTTAAAACGAATTACTTCATAACCACAATTGACCCAACACTACTCTCCTTTTTTTCTTTTTTTTTTACTTTATTCACAAAAATCCCTTTTAATTCCATTAAATAATAAGATCAACGACACTCCCCAGCTCCCACACACACACACACAAAAAATGCTAAAAAATGTTCTAGACATCGTATTGGCCTTTGTTTAAATTAAACTAAATATATTACCATTTTATTCCTTAAAAATAGACTAGAGTTGTATAGAAATGTCTAGAAGGGGACAACCCAAGCCCTAGGACACAATGGTGAGAGAAGGTTTGGTGAACACTGAACATGCACAGACAGAACTGCTGACGTTCCATCACGTGACCATCAGAATATTCCAGCAAGCGTTCTAGAACGCACGCACGCACCATTCAAATAGCCAATCAGCATGTAGTATCACAAATCGGATCTAATCAATGGAATCGTAAAGCCAACCCAGACAGCAAACTGACATTGAATCAACGTGGAAACGACGTCTCCCATGACATTGAAACAACGTTGATTTTGCTCATCGAATTAACGTTGAACCAATGTCAGACGCGGCATTCTTCAAAGCTAAATGAAAATCGAAAATTGGTTTGCTTTCATAACGTTGAAACAACGCGTTGATTTCAAGTTGATTTTCCGTTAGTTTTGAAAGAATGACGCGTCTGACGTTGGTTCAACGTTAATTCGATGAGCAAAACAATGTCAGATCAACGTTGTTTCGATGTCATATTTCTACGTTGATTCAATGTCAGTTTGCTATCTGGGAAACTTTATTAACATTTTAGTAGTTTCACCAGACTTATTTATCTCGTCCTAAAACCCAATAGTTATGTAGGCTAACTTACGTACTGTGTTGACAATATCCCGAATGCTGTCATTAACAACAAATCAAGTCAGTGATCTAATCAGATAAATCAGATTTTTGAACGATAGGCATATAGCAGTGCAACAAGAGCCGCACGAACGGTTAGGCTCCATCATTTTACTCACCTTCTTCGCCAAATCTGTCATAGATGTCTTTCTTCTTCGGGTCGCTCAACACGTCGTATGCCTCCGCGATCTCCTTGAACTTTTCCTCGGCACTGGGCGACTTGTTTTTGTCCGGATGGTATTTGAGCGCTTGTTTGCGATACGCTTTCTTGATCGCGTCATCGGACGCACCTTTCTGAATCCCCAAAACACTGTAATAATCTTTCCCCATCTTCACCATTGAGCGTTTCTTTTAGGTAGTCTCGCTATTCTATGAAAATAAACAGTCCTGCTCAAGAATGTTCGGTTCGCGTCCACTTATCCTCAATGAAAAATATATAGGTCTTGGAATAACTTTATTGGACAGCTGGTGTCCCGTCGACCGGCGGTTAACTTGTGCCTCGGTCTCGCTGTGGTTCGTCCGTATTTGAAACCGTGAGGAAAGTTCTAGAAATGTCTCAAACTCTCTGGTTGTTTCTAGTTTCCACACCCAAACCACGTGATGCCGCTCCACCCATAGAACTGCAGGACACAGATGAAACCGAAACTAAACAATATGCATTTTAAATATATATAAATAGATAAAAAGCTTTTACCACAACTAAACAATGACACTGAAATGCACAGATGTAAACACGCATGTTCATGACGCTTTTCGTCTTAGTGAGTCACACATTTGCATAATCCGTTCACAGTTCTGACCGACTGACCTCCAACATCCAGAGAGAGAAAAACAAACAATGCAATGCCTTTGACTATCACATTGTCATATTTGATGTATTTTTGGACAACAATGTGTGTAATAATATGTTGATTGTATCCATGCAAGGCCCATTTTACCTGAATGTTGTGCCGTAGCTCAAGGTACCTGATGATACTCTAACTCTCATCATTTTAAACATGCAATTATGCTTTTTCACATTTAAAAAAGATATATTTAAGAGACCCGTGCTAATTTATAAAAATATCATAGATCTCATGCATATTATTGCCTAAATGTTTAGCTGACTTCACCCAACACAAATGTAGTTTTGTTAAAGTTTCTCCATGTTTTGTGGCATTTAAATGTTTATTTCGATTTGTAAAATAAATAAAAATGAGTGCCTTAAAACTCTCTAAATAAATGGCAATAAATCCCCTGCAATCGTATTTATTGTTATAATTTGCTTTTCTGATTTTTTTTTTATGTTGTATTATTATGTTGTTTACAATATGCTGTTTGGTCTTATTGTTAATGTGTAAATGCTTGTTTGTTATTTGAAATGATTTAATAAAGTAAAAAAAAAAAATCAATAAAAAAAAATCCAGAGAAAGATATTTGGTTGATTCTTCAGTTAGTGTGTATTTAGTTTTATTTCATTTTAATTTTTTGCATCGTTAGGATATAAAAACATATTTTAATTTATTTTATTTGAATAAATTATAATTTAATGTATTTATTATCAAAGTGTTGTCTCTTCTCTTATAGCCTATGTTCCTGATGTTAAAAAATATATTTTTTTAATCAGAATTTCTCAATTTATACTATATTTATAACAAGAAATTAACCAGTTAGGCCTTCTTGTAATATATGCACACTTTCAATCAGCTTGGTATTTATAGGCTACATAAAATCTTTAATTGTTTTATAACAAATAATCGATGTTTTAAATTGAGTTATAAAAAAAATAGCCAGTCATAATGTCTATTTTATCTTTTAAATGTCCTCTCTATAGGCTATACAAAACGAAATTAAATTAAGTCTTTCTTGTAATATACACTCTAGCACATTTTAAATCTGCTTGGTTATTCATGAATAAAATCTGTAATTATTTCACAGAAGCACGCGTGTAATCGCCTCACATCACCACTAGGCGGCGCGCAATGCTCGTTCAAGCGCTTCTGGTGTCTTCTGGGTCAAACAGGCTTCTCTGATGCGTTTCACCAATGACAACATCACGCGCAGGTCTTTGTATTGGTTGGTAATCGCTCACCACTCTGTTCCCATTGGACGAGCGGCATCTTCCGTTCCTCCTGATTGGACTTCGTGCTTGTCTCTCAGCTTGCTGGGATTAAGCGATTCAAACTGCAGCAATGAAGCACTACGAGGTAAGATAATGTTACTGATTTTCAGTTCTCATTGTACGGCGTTCAGGTCTCAGATGATGCTGTTGAGATGAGGACATGATCGTGCCGTGTGGAAATGAACGAACTAAACACATCTCTGAGGGTGAAGATTAGACAGCGCGCTAGTGTGTGACAAGCACCTCGGCCTAATAGGACAAAACTGATCTATGAATGGGACAATAACACACACACACACACACATATTATGCACACTGGACGGTCCTGAGGCAGGGATGGGGAAGTAGTTTGCAGTAATAGTCCCCTCGACCCATAGAGTTAGGGTTAGGGTTACACCGCATCTCAGCAGAATCTGAAACAACCCTTGTCCCATATATTACGACCATGTGCAATAGGAATATCGATTACAACATATGAGGTGCTTATTGCAATATTTATCCTCGAGATAAATACAAAATATGGCGTTTTAAAAACGTAAAGTAGGAACCTCGCGTGCACTTCTGTCACAAACATTCAGCGTTTCAACAAATACAATTAAGTTGTGATTTAACTTATCTGACCAAAAACAAATGTGCTGTAACAGGACGGACTTGTTCATCGTGTGCCGTGTGGGACTGAAGTCACAGCTCTTCTCTCCATAAACCCGGAAGTAGTTGTATGTTTCTGTGTGGATTTACTAATTTTGTGACATCAGTTCTAGCCGATGAAGATATGGGCTTACGTAAAAATCGTTAAGGATATTTTAAATACCGATGTACCACTTTGGTGTACTTTAAACATGTAGTTCGGTCAAAGTCTTTGATAAAACTGACATAAGCGATGGTCTATGATGTCCACAGGAGGGCGCCAGAAGATCTCTCAGGGACATAAACGTATAATACATCGTAATTAAGTTACTAATAAATCAAAGAGGGGAATACAACTTACACAACACAACGTATAAGATTAATTAGATGTATAAAAAAATCGCTAATGTGTTTGTTGAAGCGCGTGAATGGCACTCACGTGATCTTTAACGGTCGCTCTTGCCGTCTCGTGCTGCATTTCGCCTCAGACTAGTACATATTAAAATAATGTTGGTGTTTTCCTCGCAGTTCGCTTTCAGTTGGGGTTTCTCTCAGTGGCGGTGGGGTTTTCCTTGTGTGTCATCTGCTCATGCCTTTCCAAGTTATTAATAACCACTCTCTCTCTCTCTATTTCTCCTTCCTAAAATAGTGCGCCTCAGAACAAGATAAACAACGGAAATCAACGTATTTATTTTCACCGCGAAATTTCGTATGTTGCAAACGACGCCTTTTTTTTTTCTTCACATTTGTGACATTTATGTATTCTGGTTTTATAGCTATGACGAGTAAACATAATAAAATTAATAATAATAAAATTGATATAAAAATTAAATAAAATTACAAATATATATTTGGGGAATTGGAGATTGCTTAATTGTCAAGAAAATACTGCAACACATGTTTACAAGCTAATATCTAAATATTTTTTTCCTGTTGATTTTCGGGTTGAAATATGACCGTTGCCCTAGTAGTCTAAGACTAGTCTTATAAGTCTGTCATTCATTTGTCATGGCCTTTTTCAATGGCCCCTGGCTTAAACCTATTGTTTTACATTATCATTGTACTGGCAGACATACCCCAACACAACGGTGCAAAACTAAAATCATATTTCTGTAAATAATCTGTTTGTGTTAATCTTGTTTGTGGGCTGTAGAGGAGGGCATGGCTGGGCTCTGTTACATTTGTGTGTGTGTTCGTGTGTACATCCATAAGGCAAGTTATAATTAGCACATATTGGGATGACTGGGGACGGGTTACGTTTCCTATGGAGTTTCAACAGAAAAAGAGGAAAAAAAGAGATAAGGTGCATGTGAGTGAGTGAAAGAGATAGAAGTTTTGTTTACTTGTTTGTGCATGTGTTTTTTGGAGGTTTGGGGGCCAAATGTGTAGATGGGAGGGAGAGAGAGGGAGAGAGAGAGAGAGAGGGTGGGTAGGGGCTCCGACAGATTTATTTCCACAGCTGACATTAAACCTCACGCTTTCCAGAAAGTCCTGCACTCGTTTTGGAGGTTAGGGAGGGACTAAGAGCGTACAGAAGTTAAAAACTCAGAGAGTGTGTATAGAGAGAGCAGACAGTATGGATACCCTGGCTTTAGAGGCCACGCTGCCCAAGAAGGCCCAGAACGGGTCGGTGGGAGCATTACCCGGCCTGCCCGCCCCGGCCAAACGCAAACCCGCTAAAAAGACTAAGAAAGCTGTGGTCTTTTTCGAGGTGGAGATTCTGGACGCCAAGACAAAGGACAAGCTCTGCTTCCTGGACAAGGTAGGAAACACTTACACGTCCTCATTTGTGATATATTTGACATGCATTACCCCGTAATTACACACATGCACTTTTCACAACCTCAGATTAAATAAGCCAACATGGAGTGATTGTGCGTTGAAAGGTGTATTTGTCATGCAGCAGCAGTGTTGCATAACACCATCATTAAAATGCTATTATTTTTATATTTTAACGTTTTAGTAATTTAGTAGGTTTCATTCGTAGCCTATATAGTTTTTATGAACTTCTATTACAGTACTACCTCGACTTAAACTACGCCAAAAATGAGAAATGCTGCACTGGCACCTAACTAAAAAAAAGTTTTTTAAATATTATATTTCAGTTAATGTTTTTTTTTTTTTTTTTTAAGAAACAAAAATATTTAGTTAACGATAATGCGCCGCAGCAGTGTTTTATTACTTTATCATTAATACACTATTATGATTTTTATTAATATTTTAAATTTTATATTTTCATTTGAAAGTTTTGGTCATTTAGACAGTAGTCATTTATTTTTGAATGTGTATAAAGTTTTTAATGAACTTCTATTACAGTAGTACCTCGACTACACAATATATTAGCAGCTATGTTTTTATTCATGTTTTATATGCTTATGACTATTGATTGTCTTTTTATTTTCATTGTACAGCACTTTGGTCAGTTTTGCGCTGTGTGTTAATATGCTTTATAAATTAAAATTACTTACTAACTTAAAAAAAAGTTTCAGTTGACATTTATTTTTTTATTTTTTTTTTTAATGCTTTTAGTTTTAGCTAACGATAATAACCCTGCATGTCAGAGCAATTTATGATCTGCTAAAATTGAATTAAAAATGTTTGATTAACTCAATAGAAAACGATATGTACTTTGCCTCAAAATATTAACCCTAAAAATCTTCCAAATCAGTGTTATATTTCAACTACCCATGTGTAGATGCTAGCCTAGTGTAGCCGTTAGCCTCAAATGAATGAAGGCGTTTCTCGCACCGGTTAACTTGACGTCCCCATCCCTGGAGTGGAGCTATCTATAGAAATGGGCCCGGGGTGTGTGTTTCGGGGTCTTGCAGTAGTCGTCCCTGTACGGAGGCGCCTGTAATGAGGCCTGCAGAGGATTATCAGGGATTGCAATCGTATGTCCTCGGATTAACTGCCGCTTCCACTGTGATGTCACTGGCTACTGGTGCTGTGATGTCACAGTGGAATGCCAGCCTGCCAGGATGATGATGATGATGTCAATGTAAGAATTGAAGGTTTTTGGCGGGAAATATAAAGGGAAAGCTTTAATGCTTTACTGTATAGTTGCCACTTTACAATAAGGTTTCAGTTGTTAAAAGTAATGTATTAACTAACATGAGCAATACATCTGTCACTGCATTTGTTAATCTTTGTTAATGTTAGTCAATAACAATAGTTGTTTATTATTTCACAGTGCATTAACTAATGTTAATAACCTTTGATTTTAATCATGGATTAGTAAATGTTAAAATGGACAAAAAATTGATATCTCATGTGATGTCACTAGCTTTAAATATGGAACTTCGCTGCATAACGAATGCATAAAAGCGAATAAATGGATATAATGCAAGTATAAACGTGACGTTAAACCGTTTTTGTCACATTGCTATGCTACTACTAATGTTAACGGCCTCGACTGCACACACACTGCATTCCTCCACTAGTCAACAACTGAATCTCTTTATAATATGATATAATCCGTCCGATAAGTGTCCGGCTCAAAACGTGTCAAAACAAATAGCATGAGGCCCCAGTGATGGTATTTGGCCTCTAGAGGTCGCTCTCGTATTGCAGAAAGACAGTGAACCCTGCTAACCGACACAATACATAGATTGTTTCAGCAAATCAATTATTTGGCCAGGTGGTATTTCTAGCATAGGGGGCGGAGCTTTAGATTCTAGGGAGCATTTGATTGGACAGAAGCAGTGATGTCATAAAAATCCATGATCCGATTCAGCGGAAGTGAGAGACTGTGAGTTTTGATTGCTTCTGTCTCCTAAATATAGAAATATATATATATATATATATATAAATATATATATATAGGTTTCGAGCGATATTTTCACAAAAACTGATTCCGGTAAATCCATTGCTTTAGTTTTAGTAGATCTTTTTATTTATCTATTGCTGTTTTTTCCCTTTATTGGTTATTTTTTTGTTTTGTATTCTGTCCTGTACGGCACTTTGGTCAGCCTTTGTTTTTTTTGTTTTTTGTTTTTTTTTTTTTTAAATGTGCCTTATAAATAAGTATTGTATTGTATTGTAAATGCGAAGTGTATTTTTGTTTTGGAACAAAAACACACTTCGCATTTTTTTCATAACCTTAAACCTCACATATTCATACTAAAAGCTAAAAAGCGTAAATTTTGATTTCAGGGGGGCTTAAAGATGGAGAGAGAGAGGGAATCTCTCGTGTCTCCTCTATTTGATATGAATTACTATGCTTTTAACTATTATGCTGACGGAAAACACACAAACGCTGGATAAAGCAGGAGGACGTGTAGAGGCAGCTGGAGTCAGCTCAGCATGTGTGTGTGTGTGTGTTCTGGGAGATGTGCTCCGTGTCGTTGGGTGTGTTTGTCTGGTGTTTTGTGTCTCTCAGAGCAGCTGCTGTACTAAAGCCACATCGCTGGGGGATTGTAGCTAAATTTACCCCCGGATTCAGACACACACTCTGAAACTAGTGTTTGTGTGTTTGTTTGATTGGCAGGTTGAGCCCAATGCCACCATCGGAGAAATCAAGTCCATGTTCCACAAGAGTCGTGAGTATCCATTTCTGAATCTTCAGTCGGCTTTAACTTCTGCTTAGAAGTTCGGGACGGGTAAAAATAACATTTATAATGTTATTTCAAATAAATTCTGTTGAATTTTCTATTAATCAAAGAATACTTGGTAAAAAAACACTTCCACGCTTTAAAAACTTCATTAACATCTTATCAACATTGATGATAATCATAAATGTTTCTTGAGCTTCAGATCCTCATATTATTCATGATTTCTGAAGGATCATGTGACTCTGAAGATGGCAGTAATTGAATAAATCACAGGAATAAATTACATTTGACTATATATTCGGATGGAAAACATGGTAAAGATATTTCACAATATCACTATTTTTACTGTATTTTTAATCAAATAAATGCAGCCTTGTTGAGAATAAGAGACTCTAAAAACATTTTCCGACCCCAAAGTGTAAGTTTAGTGTGTGTTTGACTGTGCTGTTGAAGTGTTCCTGTGTGTGTTGTTTCAGACCCTCAGTGGTATCCGGCCCGCCAGTCCATTCGTCTGGATCCCAGTACGTATTACACTTGAGTTCATCATCTCCACAGATCAGTCTGCTGACAATATTAGCATGAGAAGAGTCACTGTTTCTAAGTATTATTTAATCCTACACCACAGGCAACTTATATAAGATTAACACCAACATCAATATGAGTTTTCACTCAAGCTTGTCTTGCTGAAGTTAAATGGATACGTCACCTCTGGAAAGATGAATGTCTATAAAATGGGTCATTTATGTAGAAGAAATGTGAAGTTATTTTTATATTTGGAGCTTTCTAGACTGAGAAAAGCCAGAAAATGACAGAAAAGACAACAACTCCCAGAATGCACTTGCTTCGCTGCCCTAGGAGGCCACGCCTACCGGTAACAGAACGCAGTAGTTAAACAACAAGTCTAGGCTACTAGTGAGTCTCTGTAATGAGTCTGCCCAAAAATGTGTTTCGAGATCGCCCAAAATGTCCGGGATTCAGCTTTTGCGTTCTACAGTCGCCATTCGTCATGTTTCCTGTGGCGAGCGGGACGAGTGAGGGCCGCGGGAGAACGGCGCGAGGCCGGTGGCGTAATTACCAATGAGCGACACCTGTGAGACGCACCAGTCTCGTATCTCTCACGGAGAAGCGGGAATTTTCTTAGCAATGTTAAACGCACATCAACCGATCACTTGTTTAGCGTTCATGTAAACACGACATTTAGATTCACCAATCAGAATGAATTCAGTTAGATTGAAACAAACGCTGTGCATGTAAACAAAGAACGCAAAAGCTGAATCCCGGACATCGATGGCCGAACCTGTCCGTGAAAAAGAGCCTGCTAGCTTAGCTTCCAAACAAAGATGGCCGACACTATTGCCGCTTTTCCATTACCAGTACCAGCTCGACTCGCCTCAGCTCGCTTTTCGTTTCGTTTTACATTGCACACAATAGTACCCGGTCGTCATAGCGACGCCTTTCGTTCCTCGTTGCCCCATCAAGTTCTCGCTGGATCCTCGTTTGACCACGGCGTATTCTTCCGAGTTGCCATAATAACAGTAGTTAGTTTAATAACTATCTCTGGCCAAAGTGTTTAAAACTGGCGGAGATATTCTGGATCTGACGCGTGCAATGATGACACAGTGAATGGTGACGATTCTCTCTGACCAATCAGCAGTCGGCATTGTTTTCACGTGACATTTTAGTATCGCCTCGGCTCGCTCAAAACTTCGCCAGAGGTGGGACAAAAAAAGTACCCGAAAGTAGGAACAGGTACAACTTTTACAAAGGCGTGGCGAGTCGAGTCGAGCTGTTACTGTGTAGTGGAAAAGCGCCATAAGTGTTCCTCCTGTGAGTGAGATCGCCCTCTATGGGCAGGTTGAGAACATGCGGGACAGACCCGACTACTGACTGTAGTCTTTAGCATCTGGCCAAACAATCCTCAGATGATTCAGACGATTTTTGCATCATCAGAGGATGTTTTTCAGTCAGAAAATACAAAAGTCTCTCGTCTCAGAGGGATATGAGGGTGGAAAGCACGGTCATTCAACAACACTACAGGTTTCCTACTAATACAAAGCTTAATGCTAAATCCTGAAGTATCCCTTTAATGAACATCTCTGAGACTGATGGTTTATGACTGGATGTTGTGATTCTTGTGTGGACGGGTGAGGAGAAACCTAAAAGAAGGGTTAAACAGGAAGGGTGGGTTGTGTTCGGTTTTGTTCAGTTGTCCGCTGGTTTAGATGAAGGGTTCGTGTGCTGATGCATTCTGGGATTGTGTTGCAGAGGGGAAATCCCTGAAGGACGAGGATGTTCTCCAGCATCTACCGGTGGGAACCACTGCAACCTTCTACTTCAGAGACCTGGGAGCCCAGATCAGCTGGGTCACGGTGAGACACACACACACACACACACACACTTATACAAACTCAAACGCTCACAAATACACACATGTACATTAAAGATACACACTGACTAACTTTATCCCAGAATACACCTGATTGTTCACAGTTTGAACGTTGTTGTTTCCTTTAATTTATTTCCAAGATCTGAGCAGAATTATTCAGTGCGTCTGTAAAGAACACACAACACGATATTACACATAACCTGAACCTGATCACTGTGCTAGAGTGTGTGTGTTCATGTTTTAGCTTAGTTTTCATCCACGTTTAATTCAATAAAGTGTGTTCATGTAAATATTAATGTTGCTTCACTGCATTATAAGCTTATGCCAGTGTGTGTGTGTGTTAATCTGTCTCTCTTAACTGGCCCGTTTAGTGTCTGTCACATTATCTGTGTGAGAGCAGGAGATATTAATAACATGGAAACATGAACGACAGCAGAGGAACTGAACTCGTGAACCCCTCATAGTGCTTATATATACTCTCTCTCTCTCAATCTCTCTCTCTCTCTCTCTGTCTAACTATTCAATCGAGCTGTATTAGCATAACTGTGTATCACAATCTTGCCAAAGCATTAACATATTATATATAAATAATGAGACAAACAAAACATGTAGTAAATCTCTCTCTCTCACACACACACACACACACAGGTGTTTCTGACGGAGTACGCCGGTCCTCTGCTGATTTATCTGATGTTTTACTTCAGAGTCCCGTTCATTTATGCGCCTAAATATGACTTCACCACCAGCAAACACTGGGTCGTACAGTAAGTGTTCACACACAGCAGGATCCACACACAATTTTCATTTTAGTGTGTGACGCGGCTTCTGAGGGCTGATGGGTAATTCAGTGTGTTGTTGTTGTTGTAGTTTGGCATGTATGTGTCATTCCTTCCACTACGTTAAGAGACTTTTGGAAACGTTGTTCGTCCATCGCTTCTCACACGGGACTATGCCTCTCCGAAACATCTTCAAGGTGAGCTATACGACTACACACACACACACACACACACGTCACGATTCTTTATATAGAGAACAATATGTGGTTTTGAATACCAGAAACAGAAACTTGTACATTTCACATGATTTTTAAGAGTGAATCGTGACTTTATATTAATTAAAGTGTCCCTATTATGATATTTTAAAGGCTCCTAATTCTGTGTTCGAGGTCTCCTCCTGATTGGTCTACATGCTCATAATATACTTTGCAGCATCACATAATTTCTCATTTCTCAAGTGTCAGAAAACAGTTTAAAGGATTTGGCCTGTAAACCCCTCCTTTCCTGATCCTGATTGGTCAGATGGTCCAGTCTGTTGTGATTGGTCTACTCTGCTCTGATTGGTCAGATGGCCCAGTCTGTTGTGATTGGTCTACTCTGCTCTGATTGGTCAGATGGCCCAGTCTGTTGTGATTGGTCTACTCTGCTCTGATTGGTCAGATGGCCCAGTCTGTTGTGATTGGTCTACTCTGCTCTGATTGGTCAGATGATCCAGTCTGTTGTGATTGGTCTACTCTGCTCTGATTGGTCAGATGGCCCAGTCTGTTGTGATTGGTCTACTCTGCTCTGATTGGTCAGATGGCCCAGTCTGTTGTGATTGGTCTACTCTGCTCTGATTGGTCAGATGGCCCAGTCTGTTATGATTGGTCTACTCTGCTCTGATTGGTCAGATGGCCCAGTCTGTTGTGATTGGTCTACTCTGCTCTGATTGGTCAGATGATCCAGTCTGTTGTGATTGGTCTACTCTGCTCTGATTGGTCAGATGGCCCAGTCTGTTTGTGATTGGTCTACTCTGCTCTGATTGGTCAGATGGCCCAGCCTGTTTTGATTGGTCTACTCTGCTCTGATTGGTCAGATGGCCCAGTCTGTTGTGATTGGTCTACTCTGCTCTGATTGGTCAGATGGCCCAGTCTGTTTTGATTGGTCTACTCTGCTCTGATTGGTCAGATGGCCCAGTCTGTTATGATTGGTCTACTCTGCTCTGATTGGTCAGACGGCCCAGTCTGTTATGATTGGTCTACTCTGCTCTGATTGGTCAGATGACCCAGTCTGGTATGATTGGTCTACTCTGCTCTGATTGGTCAGATGGCCCAGTCTGTTGTGATTGGTCTACTCTGCTCTGATTGGTCAGATGGCCCAGTCTGTTGTGATTGGTCTACTCTGCTCTGATTGGTCAGATGGCCCAGTCTGTTGTGATTGGTCTACTCTGCTCTGATTGGTCTGTTGTGATTGGTCTACTCTGCTCTGATTGGTCAGATGGCTCAGTCTGTTGTGATTGGTCTACTCTGCTCTGATTGGTCTGTTGTGATTGGTCTACTCTGCTCTGATTGGTCAGATGGCCCAGTCTGTTATGATTGGTCTACTCTGCTCTGATTGGTCAGATGGCCAGTCTGTTGTGATTGGTCTACTCTGCTCTGATTGGTCAGATGATCCAGTCTGTTGTGATTGGTCTACTCTGCTCTGATTGGTCAGATGGCCCAGTCTGTTGTGATTGGTCTACTCTGCTCTGATTGGTCAGATGGCCCAGTCTGTTTTGATTGGTCTACTCTGCTCTGATTGGTCAGATGGCCCAGTCTGTTTTGATTGGTCTACTCTGCTCTGATTGGTCAGATGGCCCAGCCTGTTTTGATTGGTCTACTCTGCTCTGATTGGTCAGATGGCCCAGTCTGTTGTGATTGGTCTACTCTGCTCTGATTGGTCAGATGGCCCAGTCTGTTTTGATTGGTCTACTCTGCTCTGATTGGTCAGATGGCCCAGTCTGTTATGATTGGTCTACTCTGCTCTGATTGGTCAGACGGCCCAGTCTGTTATGATTGGTCTACTCTGCTCTGATTGGTCAGATGACCCAGTCTGGTATGATTGGTCTACTCTGCTCTGATTGGTCAGATGGCCCAGTCTGTTGTGATTGGTCTACTCTGCTCTGATTGGTCAGATGGCCCAGTCTGTTGTGATTGGTCTACTCTGCTCTGATTGGTCAGATGGCCCAGTCTGTTGTGATTGATCTACTCTGCTCTGATTGGTCTGTTGTGATTGGTCTACTCTGCTCTGATTGGTCAGATGGCTCAGTCTGTTGTGATTGGTCTACTCTGCTCTGATTGGTCTGTTGTGATTGGTCTACTCTGCTCTGATTGGTCAGATGATCCATTCTTTCTTTTAGGAGAAAATAACTCCATTAATCTGCCCTGTGATCTCTGAAACTTTACAGACCTTTAGATTCACAAAAAGCTGAATTGCACATCTACATGAAAGGACATTTTTCAAAAAGCATAATTGGGGCACTTTAAATGTCAATCTTTTTTTAGATTTTTAGATATTATCGGCGCTTTACTGTAATATTAAAACATGATTGTGTGTTTTTTTTCCAGAACTGCACGTACTACTGGGGATTTGCAGCTTGGATGGCGTATTACATCAACCACCCTCTGTACACGCCACCCAGTGAGCCTTCCTTACTCTTCCCTGCTTCAGTGCTAACACAAATGCATTCATTGCTTCATTCATAAATTACACTGGCATTTTCTGTTGGCATGATGTCAGCCGATATTGAAACGTGTGTTCACGGCTCATGCTCTTGTTTGCATTGCAGTCTATGGAGAGCAGCAGATCAGACTGGCCCTCATCCTGTTCCTGGTAAGATCAGCTCTTCCACAGCATCAGTGTCAGTCATGTGATGATGACTAATGATCTCTTTATGGCCACAGTTCTGTCAGATCGGGAACTTCTCCATCCACATCGCTCTGAGAAATCTCAGACCACCTGGTAAGACCACACACACACACACACGCACGTCTGATTCGTTATCTTTGTTGGGTCTCTCGATATACGTAATGGTTTTTTTATCCTGTATATTCTGTCCGCTTACACTAACCCGACCCCAAACCTACCCAACACACACACATCACACAAAACTTTCAGCATTTTCAGAAAAACTCATTCTGTATGATTTATAAGTGTGTTGACCTTGATTTAGGCCACAGTGACACGAGTCCCCATGAGTCTGTGTGCATTCAGGTTTAACTCCCCTCTGGGATAGAAAAACACACACACACACACACACAGTTAGGATCTTTAATACATTTATTTATAGAAATTATACATTTTCTGTAACGCGTATGTTTACGTGGCATTTGCGTCGTTTGCATCTGTTGCTCGGCTCATCGTTAGATCAGGTCTGCCCAAAGTAAGAGTTTCTTCCTCTTCTGCAGGATCTAAGACCAGGAAGATCCCGTATCCGACTAAAAACCCCTTTACCTGGATCTTCCTGCTGGTGTCCTGCCCCAACTACACGTATGAGGTCAGGAAGATGCACTCTCACACACACACACACACACACACATGTTCAGCACAGACCTTTCACTGAAAACTGTTAGCATCCGCTTCTCTCTTGTGTTCTGATGAAGATACGAAACATATGGAAGCTCGTTTCCGCCACAGAATAAAACATTTCAAAAGATTATTGACACTTTATTTCTCAAAATTGCGTGTTATAAAGTCGCATGAATTACCTTTTTTATTTTTTCTTCTGTGGCAGAAACAAGCTTCCATATAAATGAGATGCTTTATGCTGAGACATCATAATAGTTACACTTTGGCATAGATTTCTTCTTTGGATCCGGTTACAGCCGAACTTGATGCAAACTAACTGTAACCTCCAGCTCATAGACAAAATCACGTTAGTGATCAGCATCAGCAACAAGACCAAAGTAGTGTATAAAATAAAACAAAACACCTTTGGTCGGTTCACAGACAACGCTTAGATTAAATATATACAACTTAAAATATGTCAAATGTCATTGTTTTGTCTCAAGATTCACACCAGTAAAGTTTTTAAGGCATGTTTATATAAGCAATATCATTTTTGGGTGAACTAACCCTTTAAAGGTAGTGTAGGTCATAATTTTATAAAAACTTTTTTCCAAATATTTTTAAACTTTCTATATATATATTAATGCATAATTAAAATCTAAGTACTGTGAAAAAAAGAGTATAAAAATCGAGTGACTAGACCATTTAATCTGCACTAAACACAGCTCATTATTTCGAACCGGGACGAAACAACGGATTGACTTAGGCGACTGTCACACTCTCGCAACCATGGCAACCACCCTTTTACCACACAGGACCTGCCCACTTGCGCGTATCCAGATCGTACCTGTTCGCATGCCCTTGTTTGAGCTTGAAGATGCAAAACTCGACACAGGTCCTCTTGTCTAAAAAGTGCTTCTTGCCCTGCACTTCGACCACCCCGTCCTTGGCCTCTACTTCCTCGGACCCTAGTTGCACGACCTCCTCTGCTTCACGGATCTGTCCTCGAGCTGACGATGCGGTACTTGCTTTCTTATACTGTCTAACTTGTCTCGGGAGTGTAGTCCTCATCAGAATCAACAATGCTTTCATCAAGCAAACTCTTACATGCAGTCAGAACACCATATATATGTTATGAATCTTACACGAAATTCATTCTTCACAATGATGGCAATGGAAAACGTGTATCATGCAACCTGTTTTTAGCTTTGCCTTATAGATAACTAGCTCGTTAGCGAATGAATAAATATATGTAAACTTTACCAATATCAATATGCTAGCTTGATAGTGAGTAATAAAATACAACTTATTTGTTTATCTTCATAATGATAGTTAGATTTTTTTATTTACATGTGTTTCTGACATGATGTCACTACATGCACTCCTTCCTCTCCTCTCCGCTCGTCTCAGGTAAATAATGCGTCTTCAGCTCAGCTGTCGGAGTCACGCGTTCATGTGGGAAGTGAATGGAAATAATGAGCTGTCTTAAAAAAGTCGTGAGAGGTCTACAGACACTCGATTTTTGTACTTTCTTTTTCAGAGTACTTAGATTGTAATTGCATTGATATATACAGAAAGTTTAATGAAATTTGGGAAAAAACGTTTTTTTTAAATTCTTGACCTACACTACCTTTAAGTCATTAATTACTCACCCCCATGCTGTACCAACCCCGTAAGATCTTCGTTCATCTTCGGAACACAAATGACGATATTTTTGATTAAATTTGAGAGGTGGATCACTGCTACATAATCCGCCAAAGGGATCGACGGCCCAGGAAGTCATTGAAGAAAATGTTTAAATATTCCATGTGACTACAGTGGCTCAAGTTTAAGTTTATCAAGCGACGAGACTACTTTTTGTGCGGAAATAAAACAAAAATAACGACTTTATTCGACTATTCCTTTTCTTCGTTCTGGGCCTGAGACGAGAGTTCAAGAGATTTGAAAAAAAAAACGACAGTGTTACCCCTTTCATTTTTTTTTTCGGGCGAAAAATTAAGTTTCTCAAATCTTCTCAAAACTCTGGATTCTGATAGAGGGCCACAAAACTTTGACCTGAGTGCAAAAATGGAGGCTCTAGACCCTTCCAGAGCTCAGATATCGAAATTCAAAATTTCGACCCGAAAAAAAAAACGACAGTGTTACCCCTTTCGTTTTTTTTTTCGTTTTCAGGCGAAAAATTACGTTTCTCCAATCTTCTCAAAACTCTGGATTCTGAAAGAGGGCCACGCGACTTTGACCTGAGTGCAAAAATGGAGGCTCTAGACCCATCCAGAGCTGAGATATCGAAATTCAAAATTTCGACCCGAAAAAAAAACGACAGTGTAACCCCTTTCGTTTTTTTTTCGTTTTCGGGCGAAAAATCAAGTTTCTCCAATCTTCTCAAAACTCTGGATTATGATAGAGGGCCGCGAGACTTTGACCTGAGCGCAAAAATGGAGGCTCTAGACCCTTCCAGAGCTGAGATATGGAAACTCAAAATTTCAACCCGAAAAAAAAAACGACAGTGTTACCACTTACGTTTTTTTTCGTTTTCGGGCGAAAAATCAAGTTTCTCCAATCTTCTCAAAACTCTGGATTATGATAGAGGGCCGCGAGACTTTGACCTGAGCGCAAAAATGGAGGCTCTAGACCCTTCCAGAGCTGAGATATGGAAACTCAAAATTTCGACCCGAAAAAAAAACGACAGTGTTACCCCTTACGTTTTTTTCCGTTTTCGGGCGAAAAATCAAGTTTCTCCAATCTTCTCAAAACTCTGGATTATGATAGAGGCCGCGAGACTTTGACCTGAGCGCAAAAATGGAGGCTCTAGACCTTCCAGAGCTGAGATATGGAAACTCAAAATTTCGACCCGAAAAAAAAAACGACAGTGTTACCCTTACGTTTTTTTTTCATTTTTGGGAAAAATCAAGTTTCTCCAATCTTCTCAAAACTCTGGATTATGATAGAGGGCCGCGAGACTTTGACCTGAGCGCAAAAATGGAGGCTCTAGACCCTTCCAGAGCTGAGATATGGAAACTCAAAATTTCGACCCGAAAAAAAAACGACAGTGTTACCCCTTACGTTTTTTTTCGTTTTTGGCGAAAAATCAAGTTTCTCCAATCTTCTCAAAACTCTGGATTATGATAGAGGGCCGCGAGACTTTGACCTGAGCGCAAAAATGGAGGCTCTAGACCCTTCCAGAGCTGAGATATGGAAAATCAAAATTTCGACCCGAAAAAAAAACGACAGTGTTACCCCTTACGTTTTTTTTCATTTTCGGGCGAAAAATCAAGTTTCTCCAATCTTCTCAAAACTCTGGATTATGATAGAGGGCCGCGAGACTTTGACCTGAGCGCAAAAATGGAGGCTCTAGACCCTTCCAGAGCTGAGATATGGAAACTCAAAATTTCGACCCGAAAAAAAACGACAGTGTTACCCCTTACGTTTTTTTTTGTTTTCGGGCGAAAAATCAAGTTTCTCAATCTTCTCAAAACTCTGGATTATGATAGAGGGCCGCGAGACTTTGACCTGAGCGCAAAAAATGGAGGCTCTAGACCCTTCCAGAGCTGAGATATGGAAACTCAAATTTCGACCCGAAAAAAAAACGACAGTGTTACCCCTTACGTTTTTTTCGTTTTCGGGCGAAAAAATCAAGTTTCTCCAATCTTCTCAAAACTCTGGATTATGATAGAGGGCCGCGAGACTTTGACCTGAGCGCAAAAATGGAGGCTCTAGACCCTTCCAGAGCTGAGATATGGAAACTCAAAATTTCGACCCGAAAAAAAAACGACAGTGTTACCCTTACGTTTTTTTTCGTTTTCGGGCGAAAAATCAAGTTTCTCCAATCTTCTCAAAACTCTGGATTATGATAGAGGGCCGCGAGACTTTGACCTGAGCGCAAAAAATGGAGGCTCTAGACCCTTCCAGAGCTGAGATATGGAAACTCAAAATTTCGACCCGAAAAAAAAACGACAGTGTTACCCCTTACGTTTTTTCCGTTTTCGGGCGAAAAATCAAGTTTCTCCAATCTTCTCAAAACTCTGGATTATGATAGAGGGCCGCGAGACTTTGACCTGAGCGCAAAAATGGAGGCTCTAGACCCTTCCAGAGCTGAGATATGGAAACTCAAAATTCGACCCGAAAAAAAAAGACAGTGTTACCCTTACGTTTTTTTCCGTTTTCGGCGAAAAAATCAAGTTTCTCCAATCTTCTCAAAACTCTGGATTATGATAGAGGGCCGCGAGACTTTGACCTGAGCGCAAAAATGGAGGCTCTAGACCCTTCCAGAGCTGAGATATGGAAACTCAAAATTTCGACCCGAAAAAAAAAACGACAGTGTTACCCCTTACGTTTTTTTTTTGTTTTCGGGCGAAAAATCAAGTTTTTCCAATCTTCTCAAAACTCTGGATTATGATAGAGGGCCGCGAGACTTTGACCTGAGCGCAAAAATGGAGGCTCTAGACCCTTCCAGAGCTGAGATATGGAAACTCAAATTTCGACCCGAAAAAAAAACGACAGTGTTACCCCTTATGTTTTTTTTCGTTTTCGGGCGAAAAATCAAGTTTCTCCAATCTTCTCAAAACTCTGGATTATGATAGAGGGCCGCGAGACTTTGACCTGAGCGCAAAAATGGAGGCTCTAGACCCTTCCAGAGCTGAGATATGGAAACTCAAAATTTCGACCCGAAAAAAAAACGACAGTGTTACCCCTTACGTTTTTTTTTGTTTTTGGGCGAAAAATCAAGTTTCTCCAATCTTCTCAAAACTCTGGATTATGATAGAGGGCCGCGAGACTTTGACCTGAGCGCAAAAATGGAGGCTCTAGACCCTTCCAGAGCTGAGATATGGAAACTCAAAATTTCGACCCGAAAAAAAAACGACAGTGTTACCCCTTACGTTTTTTTTTTGTTTTCGGCCGAAAAATCAAGTTTCTCCAATCTTCTCAAAACTCTGGATTATGATAGAGGGCCGCGAGACTTTGACCTGAGCGCAAAAATGGAGGCTCTAGACCCTTCCAGAGCTGAGATATGGAAACTCAAAATTTCGACCCGAAAAAAAAACGACAGTGTTACCCCTTACGTTTTTTTTCGTTTTCGGGCGAAAAATCAAGTTTCTCCAATCTTCTCAAACTCTCTGGATTATGATAGAGGGCC